ATATATTAGTCTTCGAGTCGACTGCTACTTAACTACTCCGTACTCCTCTTACTCTACTAGTATACCATTCTCGATAAGGCTTCGAAGATGACTAGTATCGAATTCTCCGTTTAGCGGTAAATACTTTATAAAGTGTCTACTCATTGTCTAAATGGTGGAGTTACTATAACTTAGATAAGGATGGCAGATACTAGCCATGTCCTATAGATTTTAGAACTCTTTAGAACGTGTTTAAAATATATTTAAAATATATTTATATACCGGTGTCACCAATTGACGAAAAACTAGGCTGCACGTATCGTTCTATTCCTCACACGCCACACCAGTACGGAAACGATGTTGCGCCCCGATAAGAAGACTATCTTTAAGTTAACTATCAGTTTAGTACTAGTTATATTCGGAATATGTGTCAAGGATTGGTAGTCCTGGGTGATATTGGATTGCTGTAGGCAACTGAATAGATCAAGAAGTCTGTATCAACGTATTTGTATTGTATGTAATCGTGTAAATGTGTAACAGCGCGAATCGCTACCGTCGAGAGTTGGTAGGATTCGTGCGGGGTATTATATACCTCAAAAGCGGGGTAAGGATAAAAGATAATCCGATCTGGGCCCAAAGGGCCCAAATGGCTCATGCAGGTAGTGAATCTTCACAACCGCGGTCTTTCGCGATTCCAGCTTCAATACGTCCAAGGCGCTCCAATATTTGACCCATCGCTAGGTCCCTGGCGGGTATTCCCGCCTGCGCCTTTTCTATACTCTTTCTCTATGCTAGCTCCGGAATAAGCCGGAGAACGGGCGTTAGGTAAGCCTCAAGAACTCCACGGAGCGACCCCGCCCTAGCCCATCCACGGCAGCTCTCCAACGCGAGTTTTATATGGTTTTCCATAATTTGGAGCATCCGCCCCTCATCCGTCCGTCCATTTTGTTCTCCTACTCCGTTGCGGGTGTTGGGTCGTGGGTGGTCCGCCTGCTGGGGACGCGTCGGGGACGCGTCTTTGGCCTGCGGGCCTTTCCCCCTCATGCGCCCTCTAACCATTATTTGGGAGGGCTATAATAGTTGATTATAATTGAATGAAGTGTGAAGAATCGATTACGATCATAATCTCAGCTAATTTCCAAGTTGTGGGCTGTTTTGCAGAAAAATGTTCTAATCTTTTTTTATTATAATTAGTTCTTGTGGTAAGCGGCAATTTAGGTTTAGATATTAAAGGATAAGAACATGAATATGTTCTAAATATATTACGCAGGAAGATATTTACTTCACCATCCTTAATTGCAATATATGATTCTTTATAGAAATCATCATCAAACATAAGCTGGAGATCTTCTTGGTCGACTTCATTACTCTTATCATCAGAATTCTCTTTAGATAGAAGGATTAGAGATTAAGCTACAGCATGGTTATTAATATACATATTTCAAACATGTTTGAAACATCTTACGCATTTTCCATATCCATATAGTTAGAGGGAGTGTGGGGTTGAATTGAGATGTGTGTATCCAGAAAGGTGAGCCGACCAACGTCGATCATAGATATAGGTCAACTGACCTCACGTGATTAACCTAACCCGATTAGGATGGTGAGCCGAACCTTTTTCAGGGTCAGCCGAGCTGTCACTACGCCATCCACCCTGCAGCTACATCCCAGCCACGTGACCTAGGAATACTATGCTCTAATTAGTCTATTTCGAAAATCCCTAAAGCGTGGGCACCCCTACCACCTATTCTGGGCACCCCTACAACATATTCTGGGCATCCCCCATCACCTGTTTTGGGCACCTCCACCACCTATTTTGGGCCCTACTATCACCTATTTTGGATACCGTTTATCACTCCCGCCTCCCGTTTTGGGCACAGGTGATAGAACGGGTGGTGGGAGTACCCCAAAATGGATGATAGAGGGTGCTTAAAATGGGTGATGATGGGGTTCTAAAGTCGGTGGGGGGGAGTGCCTAAAATAGGTGGTGGAGGTGCCTAGAATGGGCGGTGGGGGTTGGGACGATGTAGAGGGGCCATTGTGATAACAATGAGGAGTAGAGAACCTGCCAGCGAGCGTTATTATCGGGTCCATCGATGTAGCAGAAAAAAACCTGCCGCAGGTTTGCCTAATTGAGCGAAATACGAGGTGGCGCTGCGCTAAAAAAGCCACATTTCGGGATGTAGACCTGCCGGCAGGTTTTCACCATTAAAAAGTAGACATACACCCATTCTGGCGCTAATATCGAACCTGCCACGAATCTGCCACGAATCTGCCACTATTTAAGTAAGCAAAGCCACCTGCCAGCGCTATTATCGAACCTGCCGGCTCGAAGTAGACAAGGCCCAAGTCATCCAGTCCGATGCCTTCGATCAACAGCCACGCCTTTCAGTCTACTGGTATTGCAGTGCAGACGCCTCCGCCTCCCATTGGACAACTCCCGTACATTCTAATGGAGACTGCAATTTTAGCGTCCGAGGACTCTTTGATCCAGTAAATAGGTAGCTTGCTTACTACACACTTTCGGTCTCGTAAGCCTTGCTTCAAAGAGTCCTCTGGCGCTAAAATTGCAGTGTAATGTAGGAGTGACGGCCTGAGGGTAATGAATCGGGGGAGGCTAAAAATGCAGTGCTCCTTCACATCTCGTATTCTATATTTAGACTCTTACCTTAGCCCCTACAATCCGTAAGAGACATTACACCTGCCATGAACAACAAACTTTCATCGAAAAGTCATTACGTTTGCTAGAAAATCACATTCAAACTCAGAGAGCCGTCTCCGCAATGCGGCTTCTTGACTTCAGACATAACAAAGTCAGCCTCCACTCGTTCACACCTGGTAAAATACCCCCTTATGCAATTCTTTCACACACATGGGGTGAAGACGAAGATGAAGTCAATTTCAAAGACGTCACAGAGAGCTCTGGAAAGGGAAGGCTTGGATACAAGAAGATTGAATTTTGTGCAAACAAAGCGGCAGTTGATAACCTAGAATTCCTCTTGGGTCGATAGATGCTGTATTAAGAAGGAGGATTCAAGTGAGGTTACAGAGGCCATCACTTCCATGTTTCGCTGGTACCAGAACGCCGAGTTATGTTATGTATATCTATCGGATGTTTTAGCGGTCGGTGCCGATGGTCTACAATGTGAGTGGGAGCAGGCATTCCGGGCAAGCAGATGGTTTACCAGAGGCTGGACTCTTCAGGAGCTTATCGCTCCAAAGGTAGTGCGGTTCTTCTCCTCTGAAGGCACCTACCTCGGCGACAAACACTCCCTAGAAGGGCTTATCCATGACATAACGAAGATCCCAGTCACAGCTTTACAAGGCCAAGATCGATCTCAGTTTACCAACGACGAAAAGTTTCAGTGGGCCAGTTCTCGTAAAACCAAGCGAGAAGAAGACATGGCCTACTCGCTAATAGGCATATTCGACGTCTCCTTCGTGATGAATTACGGTGAAGGGCTTCTCAAGGCGCACCAACGGTTAAAAGAAGATATCAGGCGGAATTTTAGGCCACCCGCCTTCCCCGGTATCCGTGACGAATCTCATGGGATAGAGAAAATGTTCCAGGACGCATGGAATGAGTTCACGACATTGCTTACCGCCGAGGAACGAAATGAGTTCCATGAAACCCGGGTCGAAGATGTCAGGAGGGCAGTCTTTAACCTACAGCGCGACCAGGAAAGAAAGAAATCACTAATAAACTGCTCCCGGCTGAACAACTTCCTACAGGGAATGAGCACCATTGTCAAAATATCCAGCGCACGATTTCCCAAGGATAGCTACGCTGCATATATATTGGGTCCGATGAAGTTCATGTTGCACGTAAGTAACGCCAGACGAAAAGCTTTTGCCCCAGTCCTCCGGCGTGAACATCACTAAGCAATACCACAGGCAGCTAGTCATTTCGCAGAAACTTTTGATGCATTACTAAGTGCATATGAAGACATTGGCGAAAAGCTGACTTTCCTATCTGCAAATGAAAAAGTCTTTACCCAGTACCCGCTCATGCAGCGCATTATAGGCTGGGTGTATGCTGACTTACTCGAATTTCACATCAAAGCACAGCAGTTTTTCCGTCACCGCGGATGGAAACAGGTTTTCAAGGCAAACTGGGGCAACTTTGACACACGTTTCCAGGGCATTTTAGTCAATTTCCAGCGCCAGAAGGACCTGGTTGAGTCGCTTGCGCGGTACACGGTTACTTCTAGCTCCGTCGACATCTACTCCATTATGGAGAAGCTCAACACATATGCCTTGAAGCGGGGTAAACTCCGTGTAGAACTAGATAGCAAGGAGAAAGAAGAGAAAGACAAGAAATACTGGCGCGTAATAGAATGGTTGGCCTGTTTGCGGCCGACAGAAGGAGAGGATAAGACTGCCCAGGAACATGTCGCCGACCATGAGTTCTTCTGCAATGTGAGAAAATGTAATCCAGGCAGTGGGGACTGGATAATACAGAACGAAATGATGGCTAGCTGGATGGATGATGAGACACCAAGATACCCGGTACTCTGGTTGAACGGAATACCTGGAGCGGGTGAGTGCGTTGTACCGAATCAAACACGCTGCTAACCTGCTAATTTAGGGAAAACAATTCTCGCGTCTAGAATCATCGAAGAGTGCGAAAGAAAGAAAGGGTTCAAAACTTCATACTTCTACTGCAAGGAGTCTGATACGCAGAAGAGCGATGCTCTTTCCATTCTCCAGGGCCTCTTGGTTCAATTGGTCACACAAGAACCAACCATGATTCCTCACTTCTTCATGAAGGCGAGATCGAGCGGACAAGTCACGTTAATAGCCCATCAACTTGCCCAAAACTTGATCAAGATTTCCTGCAAGCGAATTCTTAATCAGTTTATCATCATTGACGGCTTGGACGAGTGTCCTAAGGAGGAAAGGCGGATTTTGCTCTCTTTCTTGGCCGAAGTTGTCGACGAGGCAGAAGACGATGAACCTGGGAAACTCCGCGTGCTGATCGTCAGCCAGGACGAAGCAGATATTGCTGAAACGTTGAGTAAGGAGTCCCGCGCCCGACCGAATTTTTCTGTAGGACAGTTCGCTATACGCCCGAAGGATAATATAAAAGAGATTGAGGACTTTGTAGGGATGTGGACCGATCAAATTGGGCGGAAATTTCGACTTAGCTTCGATGAAGTGAAATGCATCGAAAGACTTACGTCTTCGAGAACGAATGGTATGGCCAACATTCTGTCAGTTCATCAGCTTACATGAGTACAGGAATGTTCCTATACGCGAAGCTGGTCTTGGAAAATTTATTCAATCAAACAAACAAAAACGACGTGGTTACAGAGCTTGATGAGCATCGTTTTCCAGATGGCATTGCTGCAGCGTGAGTGTAATCAAGCCGCCGATAGGCATGTCCTGTCGGAGTGAATCACTAACGACGCTTCAGGTATGCAAAGATCCTCGGTCGTCTTGAGAGACAATGGAAAGGTATAGAAGGAGCTTGGAATTAGATCACTCATCTTCTGGGGTGGATGATTTGTGCCAAACGGCCACTTAAACACTACGAGATTCAGTGTGCCTTTTGCTTGGAGTTGACCGACAGTAACGAAACGCTCCATGACGTTGAAAGTAGAGGACTGGTCGCGAAAGTAACAGAGCTTTGCGGGACATTAGTGCGTGAGCTTCCTGGAGAGAGACTGGAGCTGGTCCATGGCACAGCACGAATGTATGGATCTTTCCACCCAAACCATAACTGCACTTGCTGACCCACGCTAGATACTTGACCAAGACGCAATATATTAGCAAACCGGATGTCGAATGTAAATTGGCATCACTTTGCTTAAGATACCTAACCATGGACCTTTTCGATCCCGATCTGGAGAAGACAAAGATCAATCAGTACACTCTGGATGGATGGTTGTCTCTGCAAGACTACGTCGTATCCAAATGGTTTCAACATCTAGCCGCCTTGGCAAAAATCTACAACGAAGAAGGCTTTAAGGTCGAAGACAGCTTGGCAGCTCTGAATTCACTCTATGGATCCATGTTTCGTTTTCTGGACCGCTACGCAGATGATATATCGGACGAGCCAGTCCATGACGATGTGAGAGACGACTACAATAAGCTTGCTAGCCATGAGGTTTACGAGGATATAACTCGCATTATAAGCCATGTTACGAGACACATAGAGAAAGGACCAAACTTCCGCAACGAAATATGCCTCCAATCGCTCAAGAAAGCATTCGGACGGAACCGGGAGCTCATTAAGAAGTTCTCCATGGAATCCTCGAGGAATTCTGCCACCAAAGGAGCCCTCGTGGGCTATTACGGCCACAAGCGCTTTAAGTGCTCGTTTGTTACCTGCCCTGATTTCTACGAAGGCTTTGATAGTGCTAAAACGCGAGATAAGCACATTGACAGACATAACCGACCCTGGGTCTGCCATGTTCCGCACTGTACCTCCATCAGCTTCGGGTTTTCCTCTAACTATGAGCTCGAAAAACACATGAGAGACTACCACCCCGATAAGAGCGACTTGTCAGCATTATTTAAACTCACACCGAAGAAGGTGATAGAGTCTTCTAAGCACGTTTGCCACATTTGCGGGAAAAGCTTTTCGCGGAACTTTCACAAGATGAGCCATATTAGGAGCCATAATGGAGAGAAACCGTTTGAATGTACAGAGTGTGGGAAGGCTTTTACAAGGGACAATGATCGGAAGAGGCACGAAAAGAATCATAGTAGGCGGCAGTAATGATACGGTTTAAGGGTGCGTTAGGATCAGAGTGGTGAAATTTTCATTATTACGAGAGTTAAAAAAGAAGAGGAAAAGAAAGTGAGACGAAGTTCTTCCAACGAACAATGCCAAGGCATAATATTCAAAGCGGATGAACCTATTAGCTGATATCTATGAAAATCTTCTTCTGAACACTTCAGAGAAGTACCGATTCCCATATTCCGGTCGTCCTACATACCCATTATCTACCCACCCTAACTAAACCAAGACCTCGCTATATACTTCCCTATGTCCAGACCAGCCGCTTCAGGTTATATGTCATCTGTTCAATCAATCCCGTGCTCTTCTTCGCTTCCGCAACAGAAATAATGTCGCCCTCCTCCACTGTGAGCGGCTCCCTCCGCCATGCTTCCTTTCCACCAGGTTCCCCTTCTATCTCGGATGTCGGCTGGCGATGAAGATCGACTGCTTGCTTTACATCTTGACATATGAGGTCGAGAACCTCCCGCTCATTCAGCGCGGTGGCGCTGCTGTGTATGCTCTTTAAAGTCGAGACCGGTTGGCCGGCTTTCAGCGCCCAGAACTTGGTCTCCTGAGACGTCGGCTGGTTCGCAACCGTATCGTCCTCCCCTTCGTCGGGAGTCGTCTCGCCTTCTTTCTGCTTGTTTCCAAGGCTCCTGGTATTCGTCCGCACCATTCGTGGCCCTTTGCTGACATATCGGAGGACAATGCCGATGTTCTTCGTCTCGTCTAAATGCTTCGGCGCTAACGTCGACGTGATGTACACTCCGCGGGTGATGTCAATGATGTCCTCTAGCTCGACCCGCTCGAATTCACGCAGCTTTTCGGTGTTCCAGTCGAAGCGACACAGGTACAGCGCGCTTCCCGTCAAGAGCAGCACGCATTCTTCGAACGGCAGCGTTTTCAGGGTTGACGCCCTGCGCAGCGACGTCAGAGCATAGCCCGCAATGAACTCTTCCCGCGCATCTTCGACGGCGATCTGGAGGCAGTTGTCGATAGCGCCTTGTCTCATTTTCTTCAAATCCACCGCGTAGTCTTGAGACATCATCTCGGCCTCGAAGTCCGCGAAGACCTGGGCGGATGCGCGGCCGAGAAGGTAGTCAATGACCGCCTGTGCGAGGTAGTCGTTTACGATGTTGTTGTAGTACCGATTCAAAGTAAGCCGGAAGTCGTTCAGAGCACCACTGATATTCCGCTTTCTTGTCCGCGTGTAGTCGCCCTTGAGCGTAGCTGTGCCTGCATACTGTGCAGATATCGCATCGCGGTTGTCAGCCCAGAGTGTGTTGAACCATGACGTGGTGGGATCGGTCTGGAGGTTAATCAAGACATTACATGTGGCGAGTTGTTTCTCGAGGACATCTCGACCACATGCGGATTGTACAACATTCGTGCGGTCCAGGCAGTCCATGCAATTTGTCCGGATGACGCCAGACTGCCTCTGCACGAGGCGATCCCCTTCTTGAATCGACCAGGCAGCGGATGTCAGGAAAGAAGAAATGCTGTCGAGCAAGATCGAGACATTTTCGAACTTCATCCCTCGACAGACATGATGGAAGTCGAACCATAGAAAACCAAACTTTCCCTCTCCCAACACTCCGCTATCGACAACCTCGTTCGCATGATTTTCAAACTCCTGTCCGATCTTCCGCTCGGTCGCCTTCTTATCCACCAACGACACCGCCTGAATCTTGCCATACCGCTCAATCAACGACGAGAAATGAAGCTGGAACGCCGCCCGGTTGGTCTCCGGCGATCCGAAGAATGCGGGGATCGGCTTGAAGCTGTATGGGGTTGCGAGAAGAAGAGCGGGATGCTGCCTCGGTACTGGACAAAGGAATGTATCTTCGTGTCGTGGTCGTCCCAGTCGCAGGATGAGAAGATCTGCTCGGTCTCGACGCTGTTGGCCGCGTTCCCTTCCTCGTCGACACCGCGGCGTAGATATCGCAGTCCGGCTCGTTTGACGGATCGGCGGGAGACTAAGGTTAAGAGATACTGCTTACGGCTCTGCCGGGGATCGCCGGAAGACTCGGCGCTCTCTATCGTCTCTTCATCATCCTCTTCCGGTTTAGATGCACTGATAATCGCCCCCTCCTTGCTAGTCGGTGATACTTCCACCTCGAACTCGCGCTGCCCAACGAATCCTTGTAGAAGAGGTAGGGCAAAGCTATGCTGGCCGGCTTCCATGAAAGGATCCGTAATATGACGGTTCCAGAAGTACTTCTAGAATTAGATTCCGCGTATCATAGATCGGACGAGCTCTTACCAATGAATTGAATCTTTGACTTAACGGCACCGAATCCGCTTCTTTCTCTTGCTCCGTCACCGTTCTTGACAAGTCGTAGTCATACGAGAAGTAGAAACTCCTCGACGTGAACAGCAATTTCGCAACCCTCAAAACCTTGGGCAGCAACGGCTCGGGCATGTCATCGTCCACCTTCACCGGCTCGGGAGTCTCGTCTTGGTTTACATCCTCTACAGCCGTCGAGTCCAGTGGTGTCTCAAGGCCCTCTTCACCAGCCTCCCCCCTCGCCTCCCTCTTCCTCAACTCCTCCAACTCCATCTCGTCCCTCCTCTCCGCCGCAACTTCCGGCTCACCCCGCCAATTCCTCCGCGAAAACCACCGCTGCGCAAACCGCCCATACATCCCCTTCCGCCCAAACACATCCTCCACCACCTCGCTCGTAGTCGAACTCCCTTTCGCCTCTCGCTCCGGCGTCGGTATCGAGTCCTCGCTCAGAATCGACTCCGTCTCCGACGCCGAATCCTCCGCATCCTCGCCTGCCGCGGTCTGTTGCTGCGTCGCGCGGATGTGCGCGATCGCCGTCTCCGCGTCGCGTTGAGAGGAGAGGGGGATGATGGCGACGTCGGTGAGGGTGAAGATGGGGATTCCGTGGATTTGGGCGACTTGGTCCCGTGCGGAGATCAAGACCAGAAACGAGGAGCTGGCGAACTTGAGCAGGCCTGGAACGCAGAGTCAGCGCATATCGACGCTGTTTAGGGAATGTATCCCGCTTGACGTACCAACCACCCCATGCGCTTCAAACGACGGCGGCGGCTTCGCTTCCTCGCGCCGATCATGCTGCAGTGCCTGGATCGCATTCGTCTTGTAGCCGACCGTGATGGCCTGCTCGGTGGCGGGTTTCTGGTTCCTCGGCGGGACGGGTTGGAGGACCAGGCCGTCGATGGCGGCGAGGACCAGCATGCGGCGCACTATGTCCGGCATTTTAAAGATTGGACGTCTTCCGGGGCCATTGCATGTGGACCGAAGTTGGGAGGAGATGGGTGGGAGGTGGATGGCGAGGTCGGGACATGGATCACCCCACATACGTCACCTGGTGAGAAGTCCATGGTCATTTTGCGGAGGGTGGGACAACGTCGGAAGGGAATCATAATTCACGGCAGGTATTGCTACAGTATCATATACAGTCGCGAGCAGAATCGGTTTCCGGTTTGCACTCTGAGTCTCTGATTTGTTCTCACCGCACGGTCCATATGACAAGGGAGTTTCCTACTCAGTCCTAGCGCATTACAGGGGTAGCAGTGTATTCATCCGGATGAGGTTCCATCTCTACGCTAGTTTTGATTAGGCTTAGGCTCTCAGCCTATGCCAACCATGGGCCATGCCCATAACATTCGACTACGAATATTCGTGCCACCTCTAAACCTCCATGCTTTCAGTAAATAGTCACTAAACACAATCATTGCAGAGCCCAAGCTGGGGTTTTCAGGCTAGTCAAGAATGCACGTACCTCGCAACACACGAATTCGTCAATGCTAGACTAGATGGCATCATAGGTGGAGAAGCGGCGTGGGAGGCGATCTGCTCTCTGGACTCCTGCCTGCGTTTGCACTACTTACGAACATTGTGTGCTGGCGGCTACGGAAGACGTAATGGGTGCGCAGATGGCGGAATGGAGCTACGGGATCGGTATCCTATCCATGCAACAGAGATAAGGAGATACCCTTTTCTAGACCGATTGGCAGGAGAACTGCTCTTGTTTCTAGATCTAACCTAGAGGTTTTACAAAGTCAAACTCACCGCGAAAGAATATTGTAGAGCACCATGGCTATTAAAGCAAGGAGCGTCGCAGTAATCGGGGCCGGACCGGCTGGAGCCATTGCCACGGATGCTCTCGTTAAAGAGCAGGCTTTTGATACTATCCGAGTGTTCGAACGAAAGGCGATTCCCGGAGGTGTTTGGTAAGTTGAACATCGGCCTCCTAAGATACAACAACGCGGAAGTTTTTAACTTACGAGATAGGGTCTATACACCACATCTCCCAGCAAAAATTCCTTCGTTGAGCGATTTAATCGCCGGAAATGGAGATGTGCCAGTACAAATTCCTTCGCAGCTCCCTGCAGTGACTCCAAAATCGGAGGCCGTAAACAGTCACCAGTTTCGCTTCTCCGATACGCCGCTCCATGAGAACTTGCACAGCAATATCGTAGATCCTATCATGAGCTACACCAGATATCCCTTCCCAGCAACAGTCTCTCCAGATCTTCGCAAGAAATATGGACGAGATTCGCCGTACCGGGATCGCGAGCTAATTCGCGAGTGGGTCGAAGATGTCTTTGTTCGCAACGGAAACGACAAGCTTCTAGAGTTAAACACGACTGTGGAGAAGGCAGAGAAGATTGATGACAAATGGGTGCTGACGCTTCGAAAGGAAGAGCCGGGTAAGAATTGGTGGTGGCAAGAGAGCTTCGATGCGTTGGTCGTGGCGAGTGGGCATTATAATGTGCCTTGGCTTCCGAAGATTCCTGGTCTCTTGGAGTACGACGCGCGATTCCCAGGGCGGATAATCCATAGCAAGCACTTTAGAAATGCCAAAGGTTACAAGGGAAAGGTATGTGGCGCTTCCTAAAAACTGGGTAATTGCTGATTTGTTGGCAGCGCGTGATTGTCGTTGGAGCGTCCGTGTCTTCGTCGGAAATCATCCATGAAATTTTACCATACGCGCAGCATCCAGTACTCGGAGCGCTACGGGGCGATCCAATTCCGGCATTTGGACTCATTCCTTGGACTCATCCACATATAGTGGTCAAGAAACAAATCACTCAGTTCGATCCCGAAAGCGGAAGGATTTTCTTCGAAGACGGCTCATCTGTCGACAACGTCGATCATGTCATCTTTGGGACCGGCTACACTTTCAGCCTACCGTGGATACCCGAAGTGCAAAAGACAATTAAGGGAGCATATCGTCGACTTCCCGGCGTCTACCAGCACACATGGAATATCGATGATCCAACTCTTACGTTCGTTGGAATGGTGAGTCCAGCCGCAACGTTCTGCCGACTGATCTTGAAATTGACTATCCTGATAGCTCGGTGGAGGATTTACTTTCCGCGTGTACGAATGGCAAGCTGTCGCAGTTGCACGTCATTTAGCAGGCCGCTCGAAGCCACTCCCGCCAGCCGCAGAACAGAAAGAGTGGGAGACTAAACGGGTTGCGGAGTTTATTGGCGGGAAGAATTACTACTCCATTGCACCAAACTATCGCGACTACTTTGAATTCCTTCGTAACATAGCTGGAGATCCGGTACCAGGAACCAATGGCATCGCACTGGCGCCGTTTGACGACGAATGGTTGAAGGTATGGGCCGGTATGGTCGCTCCAAAGATTCAAGCATGGGAAGAGACCAGAAAGCAAGCAGAGAAAGAGGAAGAAGAGCTGTGGATTAAGGCCAAGTTGTAGGCATGCAGAGGGTAGTGTCACAGAATGCCTGTATTTCTTGGCATTTCACCACGGTCTCATTCTGTCAGATATCCGAGCTGATTACTTAGTCATCTGTCACGGATTGATACTGGATGATGTAAAATCAAGGTAGTAACGTAACAAGTTAGATTCATCTATGAAGAGGGAAGAATCTACGTCTACGTCAACAGGAGGTTGTAAAGTCTACAGGTGATGAAGTGGTAAGTCCCGTGACACAAATATGGTGACTTGTGCATGGTGGAAGTCCACTTCATCACACTACCCCCCTCTTCCCCGACGATGCTCTTACCATCGATCGCCATTATACCACCAGACACCATCCCAGATCTTCGTTCCGTCTCCGACCCCGTCGTGACACGTATCCCCTCTCCAGGAAACGGCCAGATAAGGAGGGAAAACCATAGGCCACCGACGGTTAACCTTAACCTTTCGGCTTCTCGATATAGTTCGGCCGGTAATAAGGAGCTTAAGGAAATAATGAACAAGACCCTACAGGCAACCGACGAAACGAAGAATTACAAGTACACCGCCGTACTAAACCGCCGACCAGAGAGCATAGGCTTCGTCTTTCGATCACAACAGGAAGTCGAAACTATAGAGATAGCACTACCGTGGGCCAACGATCTAACGCTCCAGGACATAAAATTGAATATCCGCGAGGATTTCAAAGTCAAAGCAACAGGAGTCGACAGATTCTCGGTAGGCAACCTAGAGACAGGTCGACGGATCGATAAAGATATTATTAAGGCCATCTGCTTCGAGAACGATGCCCAGATCCGCGGTATACGACTACTCAGCCGGCCATCAGCCAACCTAAGAATCGAGTTAGTGGTCTTCTATAGATCGCAAGCAGAGAAAGATAGACTACTTAACGAAGGATCGATCTCTATCTAGGGATCATACGTGAGAATTAAAGAGTTCTTCGAAATACCACGAAGCAGACAATGCTTCAAGTGCCAAGGCCCCAACCATAACGCAGCGGACTGTACAGAAGACGCAAGGACTAGAAACGCCCCCTAGGCAGAAGACCCCCTCCGGGTAGTAGACGCATGGTCTAGACTCCCTTGTATATGCCGCAGTGACCACACGCCCTGATATCGCCCTTGCGGTATCCAGGCTTTCCCGTCACAACATCAATCCGTCTCCAAGGCATATAGAAGAGGCTGATCGCTGTATCGCCTACCTAAAGACGACGAAATTCCACGCACTTGAATACTCCGGGTCTTCACAACCTCCTCCAGATGCTAGCTTACTTCCCGTCCAGGCTGCTTCTGACGCATCCTTCGCTGATGATCTAGAGACTCGCAAGTCCTCTAACGGATACATCATTTACCTGTTCAACGGCCCCGTTCGTTGGCAATCCGCCCGTCAGACAGTGGTAACGACCTCTACAACCGAAGCTGAGCTCCTTGCCCTCTCCTGGGCAGCACGCGAAATAATCGCGATGAACCGTCTCTTCCGTTAACTCAGATTTGATCTAGAGCAAGAACTCACGATCTAATGTGATAATAAGCAGACAGTTGGTATTGTCTCTAAGCCAACCCCTTTGCTCACTTCACGCCTCCGTCACGTTGATATCCATCAGTTCTGGCTACGCCAAGAGGTCCAGACTGGTGACCTTAACGTTGAATGGGTCTCCACATCTGAGATGGTCGCCGACGGTCTTACCAAGATACTCTCCCCTTAGAACTACCGGAAATTCCTCGAGCACCTGAATATGCGATCTATCCAGCATCTCATTACAATCCTACGAGATATGATCACATCCGTCACTGAAACGAACGTAACTGATTCAGAAGGATAACTCCGCGATATGGTTGTGATATACAGATCTTTTCTAGATCTGGGGGGGTGTGTCGGAACTCCGCGGCTATTACTTAGTCACCGCACCTTGTAGATTACATAAGATTACATAAGCCCTGGGTATATATACCCGTCAAGGTAAACTATATACTTCGGATCGAATACAAGCATCTCACTGCCTCTGAACAGGTATCCTATTGTTTCCGTGATTGATTGACACGCCAAAACGATCAACAGTTTGCTTCTCTGATATAATCCACCAGCCACGTCTTCAGCCACAACCAAGGGAACAGGCCGCAGGCCTGGGACCATAACAATGATCCGTGATATCCGTCTATCCGTGCCGAGCTCTATGGGACCATCACACGATATCTCCGTCCTCGGACCACCTGGAGAGACCTTCTACGACCTTACCGTCGTGTCCGTCCACGCCAGCTCAGTTAAGGGCAAGGCGCCCCTCCCGGTCCTCGACGAGGCGGCTAAGGCAAAGACTGCGAAGTACCGCGCCTACGGAAAGGACTTCGTCCCCCTCGTCCAGTCGTCCTCTCCGTGGGAGGCCTCTGCCAGCTACAAACGGCGAAGTTCTACCGGGACCTACAAAAGAACTATCCGGGGTCGAATTTCCTTGACGGGCAACTCTCAATCCTCCTAACGCGGTATAGGACCCGCCTCTACCTCCTCTAATCAAACTTCTTCCTCTCTTAATACTCTCTTAATCTTTCTTTTTTCAAAAATTATCCATCTTTCTATTTTTCTCTTATTTCTAACCAAAAATCCAATTTGTATAATAAGTCAATCTGCCTCGTGTATATAAAATCAATCTAGACACAACCCGTCACCCTACAATAACACTACCTATCCTTCCTACCTTAGGCCGCAAGGCCACAATACACAGACTGGGCGAAGCCCAAGACTGTCACAGTACCTAGGAATTTGCCCGTCACGCAGGGATGCCCGCCACACAGGGAGGGAGGTTACTTAGGTTAAGTTAGTAACATATTCCACAAGCGAGTGGCCCATACAAGCGAGTGGCCCAGCTCATTTTACTAGTAAATTCGACAAAATTCGATATCAATATCTCAACAACCACTGGGTAATATAGTCTGAAAACTTAGAATTAGGTTTTCCTATCGATTTCTAGCTTATTATTAGAATCTTAGAGCTTTATATTTTATAGTTATAAAGATATAGAGATTTGGTCTCTAAATCTTGCCAAGAAGTAGGTATCTCTATACCTGTAAAAGCTAGGGCTTTAATATTTCAATAGTAAGCTAGAAATGGCTAGGAAAACCTAACTCTAGGTTTTCAGACTATATTATCCAGTGGTTGTTGAGATATTGATATCGAATTTTGTCGAATTTACTAGTAAAATGAGCTGGGCCACTCGCTTGTATGGGCCACTCGCTTGTGGAATACGTTAATAACTATCATCAATCCAAAGTCTTGTGTTGGACTCCGTAGATCGTCTACTCTTTTTTCGCGAACCCTGCACGGTTTACCATAGATCAAATTCTCGAACTTAGGTCGGAGTGGTGCCACTGCAACACGATCGGGGCAAGCTACTCGACTGTAACATAGAATGGGCTTGTTAACCTGACTAACTGCGTACAAGATCACTTTATACTCCTTCAAACGCTAAACAATATAGTATGTAGTACAGCACAGCTAATCTGTTTCGGAAAGCTACTAGACAAGATTAATGATGCCACAATTATTCTGCTCTATCACCTCACCGTCCATAATCCCATCGACATACGCTTCGCTAATGAGCTGATAAATTTCACCGCTTTGACGTCGAAGAACAAAGGGAACTTGCGCTCCTCTGATTAGTGCAATGAAGTCGCCACGCTTGACATGCTCGGAAGAGAGGACCAGGTTGCCTTCTCTAGTGATGAATGGAAGTCGCCCTAAGCTCTTTCCCATAATCTCTGAGTCTAGCTTCACATGCGCCGCACTGGCCCTGGCCTCGAGCTGGGTAGCTTTGTTGGCCAAGAGCTGGTACACCTTACGTTTGATTTGGTGTTCCGTGATATACTTGATGCCATTCTGCAAGAGGTCTACCGCCCCAAAGAAACAGTCATCTCTAACTCTTGCCAGTCGTGTATTCTGATCATGCCAGACACCCCCGATTGAGGTGCTGGCTGCTGCACGTAGGCGATCACTAAAAGTTGTGTAGCGTTTGTTGTCGTAATATGTGAGTCGGAGTAGTTCAACTAGCCATTTTACTGGCCAAGAATCCGTCTCTTCAAGAGGCACTTCGTGGCTAGAAGTTCTGCCGGGGAAACGACCAACCTCACGTATTTCGTCATATATATGGCCTACCACTGATAACCCCTCAATAACGTCCTTTTTCTTGATGATGGTAATTTCGGAAGGACCCGTTCCAGAAGCGCTAAACTGCGGGTAAAGTACGATATGATCATTTTCCACGTCTTGCAACATATCTGTCACAGATCGAGACCAGTCTAGGACCCAAGATGGTAAGCCGGATTGAGATTTGGGCATTTGACAGCACGAGAGCAATGATATATGACCTTGTTGAAGTAGAGCCGCCATAGTCGTCGTGTATATTTCCTTACAGGATTTTGTATAGTCCGGGAACACACCCAGATCTGCCAGTTCTTCTTGGTCTGCCGCCAGACTCAACAAAGCGAAAATTTTATCTCGAGGATCGGTTGATTCTAGGTGGTGTGGACCATGGTTCTGCAGATTGATACTTCCGACGCATGTTGCACGGAGGAGCGCTGCCAATGGGAATCTGCCATACCGATATATATTCCAAGACGATAGCATGACGGTCGGTCGGTGTTGAAATAAGAGTCGAATAATGTCGAGTTCATTACGCGTCAATGATAGCCGCTCGCGGGTGAATTTTTCCATGAGAATAAACCGCAAAGCACAATACGCATTAAAAGCAGCAGTGCATCTGCGCCGTGTGAGTCTCTTAGTCCCACAAATGAACTCAGCATTCTCTGAAAGAGTTATTTCTTGTAAAACCCATACACGACCCCACCATGGCCGAGTAAAGAGCTGTTTTATGCCAGCAAGCGGTAGTGGATTGCATGGATCATGCCGGCCACTGATGGAGTAGAAGAGGTTGCACACCTGAGTATATGCAATCGTTCGTACTTTGCCAGCTGGTGTCATCATCATGACATTTGATCGGTTTAGGTCACGGGCTCCTGGGAGGTTCGACGCTAGCTTCTGCCAGATTTCTTGAAAGGGTTCCGGTCCATTGTCCATACCGCAAGCTTCCGCTTGTGCTCCTAAAGAGTTCAGGTAGTCCATCACGGAATCGCTCTGATCATCTGCTGCACCAAGCCATGCAACGACTTTTTCCGCCTGTCGGTAGATATCTGCCATAAGTGTAACCTGCCAGCTCTTTTCCGCGTCATCCAACTGATTGATGCAAAGGGAATCGATCCACATTATAATGTGTTCATTGGTAGGTCTAAGTGCCATCATCGCATCGTATAGGTTTTTGGTTACTAGAACTGGGGAGCTCTCCAGGAGTATCAAACGTGAATCGGCAGCAGCTCCCCAGACGTACGATAAGGCTGTAAACCTCGGTTTCGTATGAAGGCTGACGTGGAAGATATTGCAAGTGGGAATGAATTTAAGCTTGTCGTTGCCATCGTACGGTAAAAGTTTCAGGAGTCTGACTTCACCTCTGGAACGTTGTAATGTTCGGTATTGGTATCGGTTTGTCATGATGCCGGGAGCTAAGCGGGGAAGGGACCAGCAGATTTCGCTATATACCAAGAATTCTATTCAGAACGAAGGGTTCGTCTCACGCCGACGGGCACTTGGCGAGGTTTGAAGCAATAAGAGACACTGCTGCTCGCGACGGAGGAAGTCGCCTTGGTCAACTTATACAGTACAGTATAGTGGCAAGACGAGATCGATGCGAATAATGATGAATGATGGATGCATATGGTGTAGAAGTGCCTGGAGGAACGAAGTTCCGTAAGGTCTTTGTGGACGCCTGAGGGCCAACTTTTCTCCCAACTCAAACTTAAATCACATGATATTCACGTGAGTTTCACGTGATTTCGGTTCCTTCACCCCAACCTTCGTCGACATCGCGATCGCCGCCCGATTTAGCCCGTATGATATGATTCTAACGAGTTATGAAACTACACGCTCGGCATCGTTCACTCGCCGTTCGCTGACACCGCCTGATTCTGACCCCGCGCCTGACTGAGTCCGATCGTCGGGACTCAATCCGATCGTTGAGACTTGACTCTGATTGTCAAGACTGACTCCGATCATAAAGACTCGAGAAAAAGAGGAGGGATGCGAGGGAAAAAAAAGAGGCGAAGTCTCCCCATCATTAAGCGATCAATGTTACAAAGGGTCGGTTTTCAATGTCTCTCGCTCTATTTGCGCTCTGCTAGCCAATCTACTTTGTATATCTAGGCCGCGTTTACTTCCCCTTAATGTACCGTCCATCCCTCTTCTGTTGACCAGTCCCAACGTTCCGCGTCTTGAATCATCCCCTCGCTCAGCCGTTCTAGCCTATTCTCGGCGGCGACTATGGTCTCGGGCACTCGATTACCGATAATGTCCCTTTCTCGCGCTCGAGATAGAAGCATGATCCTATCTAGGGATAGGCAGCGCGATAGTTATACGTATAGGCCGTAGGTATCGCATTAACTAGGAACGGCCTGGCTATCGATGTTCGTCGTCCTCGCGCCGCGAAGTTCTAGCGCCACTCGGTCTAACGTCTTTCCTTATACCGTATAATCCGTGGAGGCGAACGCCGCTGCGCACGGTAATCCTCGCCGGCTGACGTCGTGCATCTGCCACGGCCGCTTTCTCTAGGAGTCGATTTTAACACTGACGGGTACTAGGAGGATGGTGCCGGCTGGCATGCCCACGAAATCGTAGTCTCTCGTCGTCTCGGACGCCAGCACGATCCCGGCCGGAGGCCCGAAGTGGAGCATGGTATCGGCGTTAACGCGATGCCCGGGGAATTTCAGGTCGAGGATGACGTCTAACGCCGTATAGCGGGCGCCATTGACCAGCTTCAGGCCTTGGTGGGTGTTTTGATTTACGGTGATGGGCATCCCCTGGACGAATATAAAGATGGCGGGGACGGGGATGGCGCTGTCGTCCCCCTGACTTAACAGCATTAGGGCCTCCTCCTCCGTAGGCTGGCCATCTTTCTACTTGTGCTCGGACATGAAAATCCGAAGCACGCTTTGCCTTTGGCGTTGGAAGGACAGCGTGGCTTCGACGTTCAGATTCCAGCGGTTCCGATTCAGCGGCGTGATAACCGTGATGCCGGACTCCCATGGGATACGTCGACCTTCCTGGTAGCACGTGTCGTTCAGAAAATCCATATCGGACTGATCTTGTACGCCGTGCCGGATCCGCCTGAGGAGTTGCTGGAGTCGTGGATCTCCGGCGGCACGGACTTGTTCGTCGAGTATCACGACCGTAGTAAACTTGTTCTATAGCGCGTGCGCTTTATCGTACTAGTGCCTCTGCTCTACTCGGAAAGCTGTATCGTCGGTCCACGCAATAACTTGGCTAGGGAGAAGGATGGACCGCTCCTAGACCGGGCGGAACTGGCGGAAATCCCCGCAGAACACGATAATCGGGATCCCGCCAAAGTCGTCCGCATACCCTCGAAGTCGGTACAGCTGTTCGTTTACCATATACAGCGTCCGCTCACCCAGTATACTAACCTCGTCGATAATGAGCAGGAGCTTTTCCTACTATACGGCCCGGCTTCGTCTATCGACGCGGAGATTAGTTAAACTCCTAGGCGCGAATCTCTCTAGGTCCGTACTCCGACCCACCGACCGAGTCGTATCTTTCGAGAACCCGCACGCGGAATAGATAGTGACCCTATTAATATTGGCTGCCGCCGTTCCCGAGGTCGCTATAACCAGTAGGCGGTGCGGGATCCCCTTCCTCGCGAACAGCGCCGCGACCGCTCCGATGATCCGTGATTTTCCCGTCCCGCCCTCACCTCTAATAAATTAGTAGAGCTAGGGAACTCCGGACTCGTCGCGGTAGACCCGGTCTAGCTAGCGGCAGATAAGTCGAAATACGATACTCTACTTTCGATTTAAGGTAAACGACTCCTCTGCTAACTCCTTCCTAACCGTAGAAAACGATATAGAGGGACCGAGCTAGATATTCATAGATAGACCGGCGTCCTATCCCGGGCCTTCCTTATCGGGAGCGGTGAAATGGACGTCGTGCTCCCCGAAACCGTCCGGCGCCCTAAACTCGGTAGTACTCTCCCCGACCGGCCCCTAAATCCCTTAGATTATCCTCTCTCTCTCGCGCGAGACGCTCTTTTGCTGCGCCTTAATCGACTTTAGCAGCTCCTATACCGGCACGACCGACGCCGCTAACTCGATATACCCGTCTTCTTGTCAAGGGCCCAAACCACGAAGGATTTGGTAAGCTGGTAACGCTGTTGAATTGCTAAAGAGAGAAGGAGAAGATCT